GCCAGTGGCTGGGGACACGCACCAGAGTCACGGACGCGCCTGATTCCTGCTTCTCCGCGGTGGGAGGGGATTTTCCTCTTTGCTATGCTTTCCAGCCCTGCAGAAACTCCGAGTCATGGGGCCTAGGAACATTCAAATCACAGCCTCAGAGTTTCCATGACCCCACCGAAAGCGCGCGCGCGTGGGTGCTGCCTGCCGCGCTCAGCACACAAACAGGTGACGCTGGGCAGGAAAACCCGCAGAGGAAGAACGGGTTTGTGGTTAATGCACCGGCTGGGGACTCAGGGGACCGGTGCTCAGCACCTTGCCCTGCCACAGACTTCCCGCATGACCTTTGGCTTGTCACAGTCTCCGTGATCTTTCCTGACCTCTCCCTTCTACTCACCCTGCCAGAGCTGAGTCGGGCTTAACTGTCCATACGACAGCGACCCCCTTGCTCCTGGGAGACAATGAGGTAACTCGTTTCTGCATCAACCTCCCCCCCCCAGCATGCATCGTCCAGGTTTAACTAGACAAGAGAGTCACGTGAAAGACACGGGGCAGAACCAGGCTCACTGCTTCTATAGCCCTCCTGTGAGCCCTTCCAAGAAAGGCAGATGGCAGAAATCCAGGTTGGCCCCCTCTGGCTGGTGCCTAGGCCTAACCATTAGGCCACACTACTTCCCACCCCTACACTCCACATGAGCTAGGCCTCCACACGCCTGTTATTTGAGGGGTGACAAATGCTCTGAAATGGGACTCATTCTGGGAAGGGGCGCGTTTCCCTCCCCCCCCATTCCAGGCTTACTGCAGGACTCCTACCCATAGTAGCAGGGAGTTCATTGGAATGTAACCGTTGCAGAACGAGGGGGCGGGGCCAGGAGCTTCGAGTGACGGGGAAGCGTGTGAAATACCCGCGAGCAATACCGACAGCAATCTATTATGTAAAATGTCACACAGGAAAAAGCGGGTCACCAACCACCTTGTTTTCATACAGACCCTCTGGCAGCGGAAATGTGACTTTGCTGTAAGTTAACAGGAAGAACAAACAAGTGAGAGCTCATCCCTGCGCTCGTTAACTGCGCGCTCGTTAACTCGGCAGCAGCTCGCAGGTTTCCCATGGCCCCCCCCGCATGCCCCCAAGCTTCCCCTAGCCACGGGCGGCTCTTCGGAAGATTTCAGTTGCTGTATTTAGCCTCCTGGGGGGGTTTCTGCTTCCCAAGATGTGACACAGCCAAGCTCTGAGGGTGTGTCTACACTACATGGCTCTGGCGACAGAGCCATGTAGATTAGTTTACTAGACATACCCAAATGAAGCGGCAATTTAAATAATCGCCACTTCATTTAAATTAAAATGGCTGCCGCACTTAGCCGATCAGCTGTTTGTCGGCTCAGCGCGCTAGTCTGGACGCTCCGCTGTCAACATCAAAGGTATTTGTCGACCGCCCCGTTATGCCTCGTGGGATGAGGTTTACCAGGGCGGTCGACAAAGGGCGACCGAGCCATGTAGTCTAGACACACCCTCAGAGCCAGAGCCTTAGCGCTAACGCCACTTGCCCTGCATCAAAGAAAAGATTCGTTTTAACTCCTGAGCGCTCACCCGTCAGAGAAAGGAACACCAGCTAGAATTTTCTCCAGCCAGCAGAAGTTTCTACCACCGGGACTTTAGCTGGGAGACTTTGCTAGCTTGGCAGGGTCAAGTCTGATCAGCACGGGGATGAGGGGCCATCAAGAAATGTTCGAAGGCAGCAGGAAACGGTGCCAATGACCCAAGGTCTCTCCAAGGAACAAGCCAGGCCTGCTCAGCGCGGGAGGAAAGCCGAGCCGGCGGGAGGGGCCATTTTCCCAGACGAGATGCACACCCAAAATCCCACCCGCCTGTGGTCATTAAAGCTCCCTGCTCATACAGCCCCAGGCGTTGTGAGGCCACATGGGTTAACGCTCGTGAGGCGCGCCGAGAGCAGGGCCGGCACGA